ACCTCGCACGGCGTCCATGAAATTGCTGCGTAAAGGGAAAGGAAGGTGCATTTACGGACCTGCCTGCGCCATAAGCAAAACTACGAAGGCACAAGTATATCACTTACGCGTAAAATTCCATTCCTCGGGAAATGGCAGAAACTGCATAGGGATAACATTGACAGTTTGTACTCGGACAAATCCGTTCATCCATCCCCGATCCCCGTCTTCTCTATTATCAATAATGAAAGGCATAGCAGATCGACATCGTAGGGTAAGCAGACCCAGTGGTCAAAAGGCCGATATAGCCTGATGAGATGACTAAGAGTGAATTCGAGCCCTGCCTCTTCCGCAAAGAACCTAATCATCAACACTATCCTCAAAAATAATGGGTGAACCTGCGCCAAGGTAACCTGGTATTTTCGACAGAAGTCAAGCACAATCCTATTAGGGGGGGCCTAGCGTGAAGGGGCACGTGTATACGTTCAAAAAACCCTCAGCGTGATCCATGATGCTCTCTCCCGGGGAAATTACCCGCAGTGCTACCTTTCCCCCAATCCACAGTCTTTCCTCACTGACTCAAGGTGCCCCTCTCCTACTAAAGAAATAAACTTCGATACATACTCCCATTGACCCCAAGCATTTTGGTTCAAAAAGCCTTCAAGGGCGAAACTCCCCTCTCTTCGCCGAGCGGACCGTGGTGTGGCAGCCATAAATGTGGTAAAACTAGAAAATCCGAGCAAGGTCTTCAAAGTTGAAATAGTGAAGGTCCTAACATAGGAAAGGAAAGCTCTATAGAGGAGGATGACTACTAGGAATAGAGGAATCCTCAAAAGAAGGAATACAACCCTATATGTGGAGAAAGCGGCGAATATCCGCCTGCCTCAAAGGCCAATTAAAGATGTCGACTAAGCCATTTCTCACTTTGGGAAGATGTACCAACGGAACTGCCCTGGTCGCTTCATAACCGCGTCATGTAATTAACATTGACATACGATATTACGAGGATCAAAAACCCCACATCATTACAAGCCTCGAGATGGTACGCGATCTCGAGGACTTCTGTTAAAAAGAAGATAGGCTACAGAAAGCCATTGGCATCATTACAAGCCTCGAGATGGTACCTGATCTCGAGGACTTCTGTCGAAAAGAAGATAGGCTCCAGAAAGCCATTGACATCATTACAAGCCTCGAGATGGTACCCGATCTCGAGGACTTCCATCGAAAAGAAGATAGGCTCCAAAAAGCCATTGGCATAATTACAAGCCTCGAGATGGTACCCGATCTCGAGGACTTCTGTCAAAAAGAAGATAGGCTCCATTGAGCCATTGACATCATTACAAACCTCGAGATGGTACCCGATCTCGAGGACTTCTGTCACAAGGAAGATATGCTCTAAGAAGCCATTTATGGCGTTGTAAGCCTCGAGATGGTATCCAATCTCAAGGACCTCTGCCAAGAAGAAGATAAGCTCTAAAAACCTACTCATACGGATTTGACCTCAAGGTGGTACCCCACCTCAAGAATTTCTGCTATCGCAAGTGCGGATTGCTCAAATCCCCCTTCGGATCAAGTTAAACATTTTCTCAGTTACTTTAACCTAGGTGCTATTCAAGTCCAGTCGTACCCTCATCCTCTCTAAGTTCAAAACAAGTTTCCAGGTCGCCCTAGCTTGATCGAACTCTCACTCAGGAATCGTTTTCGAAAGCCTACAGGCTATCTCTATTCTCAGACATACGAGAAAATCCGCCCTCGAGGACTATCACGGGGTCTGAAAAGCTAAGTTTCGTTCTGAAAGTTCGAAGCCTTATTCTCTTTCAACTCGAAGTCGGGGGTCCCGACGACCCGAGATTATCAATCCAACCCGGGCTCAGTCCAAGGAATGGCATAAGAGTCCACAGGGAATCGGGTTAGTCAGTCAAGAGCCAGAGAAATGCTTACATTCGGGCTCGGTATTCGTACCGATCGGTAGAATCACGCATTCAGATTCTTCACAAGTGCAGATAAAGGGAAATAAAGCATAAATCAGAGATAAATTGAAGAAACATCTTTTTCAGTAATAAACAACGATTAAAAAAGACCACGAGGGGTCCTTACACATGATTACAAAGCCCACAAAGGGTCCATACACAGAAACAAAGAAGCAAAAGAAAATACATACAATAAAAGCCAAGAGTCTAATCTATCCTCGGAGGTGCATCCTCGGCAGCAGTGTCTTCGAGCATCATCTCCTCGGGGGCTTTATACCGATCTTCCAAAACGACATCTCCAAGGGAGAAGATGAAGAAAAGGAAAACGATGCAGAAGAAGCCAAAAAAGATGAAGAAAAAGCCATAGCCCGCCAAAGAGCAAAAGCTTTTACCAGGCCGAGAAAATTACAGGCTGGTGGAAGACTTGGTGGGCGTAGGCCTTAACTGCACGGCTACTTTGAGTCCACTTCTTGGAACATTGTGCCGTGAAGGTTAGTGGCCGGTAGTGCCGCTTCACCCCACGGAAAGAAAAGGGATAAAGTGCCACACCAGGCCATAGTAGGGAGGTGAGCAGCGGTGTAAAGTCCGAACATCCTCCTGGGCAGCGGTGTAGAATCCGAATATCTTCCTGAGTGGGAAGAAATCGGTACCCCAATTTCATCGTCTCAAGCCAACGACGACAGCAGTAGCAGCAACAACAACAACAACAACAACAACAAGAAGTTAGTGCAATCCCGTTCGGAGGGAGATAGCTCCGAGAAAGAGGCATGGCATAACTGATGAAAACATTGTTGTATGGCCTTATGGCCACGGTTTTCAAACATAGGAAACAAGGTTGGATGAGGATGAAAGGAGGAAAGGAGTAGAAAAGCAATGGAATGAAGTTTGGATTCAAGAAAGCCCCCATTTATAGGAATATGGCAGCATAACCGACGGCAATCAATGCCTTTTTAGGAGACGTAACCGACGGCGCAATCAATCCCCCTTTTTTGAGAAACGTATCGGCAGGCGCAATAAATATTTTTGGGAGACGAATCGGCGGCAGCATTATTACTTTGAAAAAAAATAAACTGACAATGCAATAAGTGTTCCTGGGAAAGATGCACCGATGGGACGTCTCAATTATCGCAAAAGCTGATGTCATATACGTGACATCGTCACAAGAGGTTCGACGAGATCGGTGTCAGAGCCGTTTCTTATCATTTTTATCTAAGAAATGTGGGGACTATCTGTATGCGGTAAAATCGGAGGGTCCAATTTTCGGCCGTTACGGCGCTTCGTAAGCACGTCAGTCAAAGGCTCAAGACTACGGTCGAGATTTACATCCGAGGGACTCGAGACAATACAGGTCTACAGCTATGAAGAAAAAATGGGAAGTTCCCAAGGCGCATGACTAGGGCTGACAACGCCTAGTAGGCTGGTTCAGACCCGTATCCTAGCATTAATTAGCCGTGTCAATTTCATATCTTTGTAATAAATGCATTTGTACTATATTGGGATTCCTCCTGATATATAAGGGGGATCCTTGTCATTTTGTAGGCTGATCTGATACTCAATATTCAATACAAGAACATTCTCTCTGCTCTCTAACTTAACATATTGTCTTGCTCTTATTGCTTCATCTATTACTTACATTTATTGAGTTCCATTTATTGTTCTTCATTATTGCTTATTATTGGCCATAAAGAGCCGCAATCACAGCCCCCATAGCTGTTAATACCCCTTCGATTGCCCTTAGCCGAGTGTCCGGCTCAACCTCGAGGCCTGCATACGCCAGCTCGAGATCCCGATCTCCAGCCCTTTAGTTTGGTCATTACACTATCTATTAGCTCTTATCATATTTTCTAAACTCTTACTTAGTATCTATTGCCTAAACAACTAGCGTAAAAATATATCATGTATTTTTAGAACCACAAAATCAAATCTAATTGTAATTACCATTTTCAAGGTAAACAAGGATGAAATTCAAAAATAGCCAGATTTACATGTGATAATTGAACAATAGCCACAGTTTCAAAAATCATCAAAATTTAACCACTTTCATGTGAAGATAAATCTGAACAAAACACCGTTCAAAATCCGGAAAATATTCCAACGTAATATACTGAAGTTCGAATTTTTTACATGTGAACGTCCAGCATAATATACTGGAATTCCAGCATAATATGCTGGACGTTCATACACGGGTACTCCAAGCTCCAGTATATTATGCCGGAACTTTCCGTGTGCTGGAGTTCCAGCATAATATGCTTGAAATTCATACACAAGTGCGACAGTCTCCAGTATATTATGATGGAACTTTCCAAAATAGCGGCTATTTTTTAATAACTTTACAAACGTTAGATATTTTTCAATTACCAACCCGAAAACTGGCTAGCCCGTGCTACTTTCACTTTATTTTATCCTTACTTCAAGTTCTTAGTGAAAAAAACCACCAACATCTGCAATAGGATAAATCCACAGGTACGAGATAATATTATATTTTGGCAATCACTTGTACTGAACAATATAATGAAATAATTGAATGAGTGACATACAAGCAGACAGACAACTGAACTTAAAGGGGGAGGCTTAGATTCGCATAAGCAATTATTCAAAGACAACACAGCCGGAATGACATCAAAAGGCAAAAAATCTTGACAAATTAATAATATAACCACTTTTGAATGCTGACAACCAAACGAGTGCTGTTGTTGCTTTCTATGAGTTCTTTGATTGAAAGTATTTTGAAGATAACATTAAAAGGCAAGGAATGGGAGTTGCCAAGTGAAACGGTTTGATATATGTTACTTCGTTGTTGACCATTATATCAAACAGTATAAGGGGTTAAGAAGACTACGGCTGCTAGACAAGTAAATTAGCTGGTAAACATACACTTGTGTATATGCAATTATGCATAGAGAGGCTCACAAATCAAATGCACTACCCGGACACAGAAAACTTGCAAAAACTATTAGCTTCAGGTAATGCAATGAAACAATTCCTTCTCAAAAGAGTATATATATATATATATATATATATATACACATAAATGAACAAGATGTCCACAACTTAGGTCAAACGAATAGATTATAGAGCCCCGCAAAATAAAGAGAAAAAAGAGCAACGACAGTAGATCTTTGACCATCAACAAGTACGTTCCACTCTGGATGCTATAGTTACAAAACCCAGCAGCCTCAACTTGAAGATGGGTGCTCAAATCAGGTTGTTACAGCCATATTCACTTCTTTAAGCAATACTTTCCGGTAACAACAGATTCAAACAAAATTAACTGGGACCATTCCAGTTCCCGACTGCTCTTTACATCATTTCCAGAGAAAAATAAAGACATGTAACAAGCCTATGCACCAGATGAACCTTCCAAGAAAAACTTCATCATTGCACTAACTCCATGTACACATTGCACAGAACTGTAGTCAAACTGTCAGCAGTTCCTGAGAGTCAAAAGTAGATGTGTTCAATAAAAATTCCTCTAACCTTCACTGGATAAATAGGATGGACGCATAAGCGAGTTAAAAGGTAAAGCATGGTAAACTAGTGAGCAGCCAAACCTCACAAGGAAGTGGAAAATAATGGAGAGATAAGGAACTACGATCAAACTATCTATGGGGTAAGACTGAGGTGGGTCAAGGTAAATGGGAGGGGAAAGCAGCTTCAGCTGCAGCTATGGAATATAAATTGAAACGATTAGAATAAAATATCGCCACTCTATAGAACCCTTTCTCAGAAGATGACCAACTTTGCCCTATTTATTGGTGAGCAAAAGGAAGATTTCTAGACAACACAAATCTAGAAAATTTTAAAAATATGAATAGTAAAATTATTTCTTCAGTGTGTGCATGCATGAAGTTAATGGTTCCATATGCATTAAAGGATTGCCTGTAAACAGCCACAACGTGAAACTTGACTCAATTCCCGTTATTCAGAGCATAGTCAATGTGCATAGAGAAACATACAGTATATGAAAGGGCTTAGTGAAGCAGAAAGGCTGCATAGAAGCATGGTATGGTAAAAGGATGGGGAAGAAAATATTTCTTTAGGTCCCCTATCAGAACTTAACTGTTGGTACTCAGCTTTTCTGCTAGTTTATTACTTATTAGATAAAGTTCTCAGGGAATTTGGAGCCTACCCATATTCTTGTGAATATTTAATCTCAAAAGACCACAGGAGTATTCTTGATTAAAATACCTTCTCCTTCTGCTTGAAGACGGTATCAATCTTCTTCATATATTCATCTATGACTTTCTGCATAGAAACAGGAAGAATGTCATAAGAAGCAGCCTTCAGGTTGTTCTATAGTAAGTAATTATTAGTCATTTGAGCTATTTCCTTCAGTAGGTTTGAGAAATTAGAGCAGAAGTAGGTATTACGACAAACCAGAAAACAGTTTTAGTTTCTCTCATCCAGTAGAATCCAAGGCGTCGAAACAACCACGCAGTAGTTTACAGTTTAAAATTACAATTTATAAGACAATTGTTTAAACAATAATGGATAATCACTTTCTGTTTCTGAATTTCTGTGCCATGAACACCAAACTTTATTAGGTACCTGTAAATCACCAGACAAGTCCTTCACATTGTCTTCAGAAAGCTTTTTCTCCTGAAAAAGGTAAGATTCCTCAATATCTAACATCCGAAAGATAAGGACCAAAAGTTGCTAAGAACTCAAACCTTCTCAAGCTTTTCATATGCTTTTAAGGCATCCCTTCTAATATTCCTTAAAGCTACCTGCAAGTGTTTCATTAGAAAGAGCTAGTAGTATCCAGTAGACTTGATTAATAGGCAATATAAACACACTAACTACTCCATCCCTAAACAAATGAAAGATTCATAGTGGGTCAAGCTATCTAAGCGTTAAATTGATATAGGACATTTTAGATTGGAATAACAGCACTATATTCAACACATTCTTAAAACTGAAAGGCTACTTTTGTTTAGGAAAACCATGTACAGAGAGCAGTTATTTGAATTTCCATCGTAATTGTGTATCACAAATTGGGATAGGAAATATGAAGAAGTACTTTGTGTATGTCATACACTGACTGCAATCATAATTCAGTCTATTGAGCAGTTTAACACCAAGTTTACTGCTTGCTACCATAAGGACCATGGATAGGGTACAGCTACAAACACCAGAGAAAAGGTATAACTACCACAGTCGTGATCAATTGTAAATCCAAAACATCAGGTGTACCAAAGGACAAATTGGAGTTATTTCTAACAGTAGATCCCACTACATTATGAATAGAGGATCATTTCTTTTAAAAGCAGAAAAGAAATAGAAAGGAGTTACAGCAAGCTTTTAAAATAGATAAAACTTACCTTTCCTTCCTCTGCCTGTTTAGAAACAATTTTGGATAGCTCCTGCATAAAATGAAGAAAAATAAGAGAAGTAAAAATGCAAACTCAAATAGAAATTGAATGCACTGAATTATTCACATATTTACCAAATAAGCTGGAATTAGATCAAAAGCTGTAACTACATTTTTTCATAAAAACATGCTATTGTAAGCCAATTTTTTTTATTTTTCATAATCAAAAAGGACAAATGTTATCAATCAAATAACAGAATGGGGCAGCAAGACGTTGTGTGCCCCGAGTGTACTCCAATCACATAGCTTGAATAGCAAAAAGTCACCACTAGTTGGGATATGGTGCAATTCAATTTTACCAGTCCTCTAATTTAAACAAGTTCACTCCCAACCAGTTATTAAACCTAGATATCCAGTCATTTCAGATAAACTGCATAGTGTAGCTAGTGCCCCTAATGTTCTTGTTTCCATATGACCTATAAGAATGTAAAATCACCAGTCATCTACTCCTCTGAAAATAAACAAGTCAATATTACTAGATGATGTCACATACACCACAAAAAAAGGAAACAAAAAACTTTCCGAAAATTAATGACAATGATACAAGATATTAACACAAAGCAGATGAAGAGATATGCAATGAAACGCAGGTACCTTGTCTGTAATTAGTGGCTAACCAATGAGAACATGAAATTGGGTATTATCAGAAACAATAGACAAATATTTCCCAAGATACAAGACGAGAAAGCATGACTTAATCGACAACAGGGTTAATAAATTGGAGATAATATCCATCCAACCCATAGCATAGGGGGTTACATCATAAATAGCTACAGTTAAATTCAAGCTCCAAGTTGGGATCTAGAAGAAACAAATCTGACTTAGCACGGGAAAACTTAATACCTTCCTCCTGTCGGATGTCAACTGGGGTACAGACATTCTTATTACTTCTCCATCATTATTTGGCGTCATACCAAGATCAGAGCCGACAATAGCCTTCTCTATAGCTTTTAAACTGAAAATTAAGTCAAAAAGTAAAGCTGAGTGCAGAGCAAATACATGCATTGGTTGATCAAAATGGTTCTAAGAAATCTCTCACGAGGACACTTTCATTAGCCTAAGGCTTAAAAATGAAAACAACTTCTATGACTTGTTATCATATTATACAAGAAAAACAGTATACAAAGGCAATGAGTCTGATGAAGTTGACATCCTATTTTTTGCTACATCCAGATTCCAGAACTCACTCTTTTGCTCACCCTACTTCAAAATGCATCTAAGAATCTACAAGTAGTATTGATATCAAGAAAGCAAGAGATAATGGTCACACATCCAAAGTATTAGCCGAGGTAATTTTCTTTTTTCTTTTTTTTCCAATTGTTTCAGAAGTTCAACCTGGATTTGTCATAGGGCTGCACCAAGATAGAACTTGAATCAGGAGTGCTTATTTGTGCTATGCTTTTCAAGCTGACTGGAGTGCCATAATAATCCACCTTGTATCAGCAATTAAAACGAAAAAAAGAAAAAGTTGTACTTAGACATCTTGCATATAAGAAACAAAGCGACATATTTTGCCGCTGGAATTTAATTACCCAAGAAGCATAGAAGTCACTGCCTATCATATCTCAGACAACACATTTCTACAACCAGATAACTACTATGAAGTATGAATACATGAGAAATACTAAGGAAATATTTGGGGCTTGCAATGAAGTAATGAGGAAGATGCAGCAGCCTCTAAGCAAGAACATGTATATATCACTCGAAAGTCATAATACACCAGAGGGGAAGGGACATGGTGCAATTGACAAGAAAAAACAAAAGGAACTGTTACTCTAGGCAGACCTGAAGAAAATTTTACAGGAAAACATGTCAGTTAACAAATTTGCAGAATGCGCTTAGCTGTATAACATCAATGTCAATGTGGCACCTACAATAACATGGCTTTCAATTCATTTATAAGTTATAAATATGTTGATAGGATTTCAATGGTTTTGTAACCCTCCATTATGTTCTACAATAACAACAACAACATACCCAGTATAATCCCACGGGTGGGGTCTCCATTATGTTCTACGGAATCAAATATGATGGTTATCAATAATTTGTCATGTTAATCATAAGTATTGAAGCATAATGTCATCTGAAAAGAATAAACTACAAAACGTCTTACCTCAATTTTATCTAGCATAGCTGGGCTAGCTCGTCCCGTCCTTATAGAATTGAAATTTGACCTAACATTTTCAATTGTCTTTTCCATCCTTTCTTTCTGAAGTAAAATAAAAGGGTTATATGAAAAGGGAAAATAATTGAGTTGCCATAGCTTTTCATTACGAAAACGAAAATCACTATACCCACCACATCTTTCTCAATCGCAGCTTTTTCCGCTTCTATTTGTTCAATGGTTGCACACCTCACAGTTCCTCTTCTGAAAAATCAAGCCCAAGTTATGTACATGGAGACTCAACAATAGGGGCGGACTTAGTGTACTAGTTATGGTTTCATCCAAACCCGGTAACTTTGACTCAGACCGTACAGATGTGTTAAAAGATCCAATAAATAGGTACAAATATAGATTTCTAATTCAGTAGATCAAATGGCTGCAGTAGAAGTTTGAACATGAACCAGTAAAGTTCAAATCCTGGATTTGTACCTGGTCAACACGGAAAACAAATGCAAGCACCAGCAAGAACAACGACAACAAAAATTGTTACCAATACACCTCAATCCCGAACTAGTTGGTGTAGTCTATATAACTCCTCAATATCCATTCCACCAAATATGGACCCGTTGCATTCCAATATTCAATAATAAATAAACGGTGTACAGTAGGTACTTCACATTTTCAACTGACATACAAAAAATAGAAAGAAAGAAAAACAGGAGTAACGGCAGAGTATAGAATTGGACTTGCCTCTTTACCCAAGATAGCTTAACAGGCTGCAATCTCCTTGCTCCGACACGTAAGCTCACATAATTCGCAGACGCCGTCAAAGAAACCACATTACCAGAAGTGCGAAAATCATCTGCAAGGTGTTTGTTGAAATGCTACAACCGGCGTGTCATAGAGAAAGACAAGAGGAAAAAGATAGATACCTTGAAAGCAAATGAGGGGTTTGGGAGGATTGGGCTTTTGGTACAGCGAACGGATTGGAGTTGCATGCGAGAATGCTGTCGTCATTCTGGAACGCAAAGAGAAACACTCTTTCTTCTTTTTCGCTGATTGTTGATTGTCTTTTGGCGTCTCTGTAAGTGAAACTTCAGCGTGAACTTTTGGATAACTAGGATAAGAGTTCGTTCCTTTCCTTTTCTTTTTCTTCTTTTTCTTTTTTTTTTTTGGAAGTTTATTCTTCTTCCCATTTTTTTTTTTTTTTTTTTTTTTTTTGAGAATCTGACAAAGTTAGTGCCTTAAGTTTGTTATTCTCTTTTATTTGGGGTTAATTTTATAAAATAATTCTTCAAATATGCACGTAATCAGTTTTTGTAACGACCCGACCGGTTGTTTCGAGCATTTGCACTTCGCTTGGTAGTTTGAGGGCATAAGTAGCACCGTATGATGTATTATGACTTGTGTGAATCGTCGGTTTTGATTTTCAAGTTATTCGGAATCAATTTGGAAGAATGAATTTCATGATTGAACCTTTAAGTTGGAAGAGGTGATTACGTTTGAATTTTGTGAATTTGACCTCGAAACAAAGTTTTGATGGTTTCGTTAGGTCTGAATGGTGATTTTGGACTCGGGCGTATGCCCGGATTTGTATTTGGATATTTCTAGAAGGATTCGGCACTATTGGCAAAAATTGGAAATTTGAAGGATTGGAAAGTTCATAAGTTTAACCGAGAGTTGACTTTTTGGATATCGGGTTCAGATTGTGGTTCCGAAAATAGCAATAGCTTCGTTATATCATTTGGGACTTGTGTGCAAAATTTGAGTTCATTCTGAGTTGATTTGATATGTTTCGGCGCGAGTTTTGGAAGTTGAAAGTTCTAAGTTAATTAATTTTGATTTGAGGTGCGATTCGTTGTTTCGATGTTGTTATGCGTGATTTGAGGCCTCGAGTAGGTCCGTGTTATGTCATGAAACTTGTTGGTATATTAGGACGGGGTCGCGAGGGGCCCGGGGTGAGTTTCGGACGAGGTTCGGACCATTTCGTCACATATTGCATTTGGCTAAGGCTGATTGTTCTGGTGTTTCCGCATCTGCGAAAGAATGGATGCAAATGCGAGTCCGCAGATGCAGACAGTTGGTCGCATAAGCGAAAGAAGGCTTGGCTGGGGATCATCGCAAATACGGAGGAAGAGGCGCACCTACGTGTGCGCAGAAGCGGAAGCTGCGATTGCAAAAGCGGGTAAGTGCGCAGAAGCGTGTTTTGGCTCGCACCTGCGCTTGCGCATAAGCGGTGCCTGTTGCGCAGGTGCGGAAGAGCAGACCTCTAGTGTTTTCCGCAGAAACGGGAATTTTGTCCCAAAAGCGACGCTGCAGAAGCGGCCCTTTGTTCGCAAAAGCAAAAAATCGCTCGGCAGAAGCTATATTTTCGAGGGTTGGTCATTTTATTCTCATTTTGAGATTTGGAGCTCGGTTTTGGGCGACTTTGGAGAGAAATTTCATCACAAGGATTGGGGTAAGTGTTTTATACTCGGTTTTGATTATATTTGGTGAATTTATTTTCGTTTTTGGTAATTGGATTATGAGTTTAAGAGAAATTGGAGGTTTTAGCCTAATGTTTCATAGAGTGAGTTTTTTAGTTTTGAACATCAATTCGAAGTCGGATTTAGGTGAAACTAGTACGGTTGGACGCGTAATTGAAGGGGTCGTTGGATTTTATAAGTTTCGTCGAGTTCTAAGGCGCGGGCACAGGTTGGACTTTTGGGTTGATCTTTTGATTGAAGATTCGACCGTTATCGATTGGGTTGTTTCCTTTGGCATTATTTGATGTATTGGAGTTGCTTTTGGCTAGTTTTGAGCCGTTCAGAGGTCGGTACTCGTGGGATGGCATTTTTGGAGCATCATTTGGCTTGCTTGGTATTGGATTTGGCTTGTTCGAGGTAAGCAATACTTCTAAACTTCGTGTTGAGGGTATGAACCCCGAATTACGTATTATGTGATGGATGTTGAGGTAACACGCATGCTAGGTGATGGGCGTGTGTACGTGCACCATGTGAATTGTGATTTAGTCTATTCCATAGAACTGTGTAGCTATCTTCTCTGAATATTTTTACTGTACTCTATGTTTTAGAGCACCTGAGATGTAATTGATGCTAGAAATCATGTTTAGGCTATATGTTGGTATTATTAGGACCCATAGTGGTTGTTCTTTGCTATTGAGTTATTTGCTTAATTTTAGTTATGTACTCAGTCGCATTCATCATTACATATCATATCTCAGTCTCTGTATCAATAAGAAGATAGTTTGATTTCTTGTTTGCAAATGTGTATTGTCTAATCTATGAGAATCAAGCTTTTCCCCTTCCGTAAGCGCATATAGGGAAGTGCGCCCTCGGCTATTGAGAGGAATCATATTGTCTTTCTTTTATTTACTGGAGTTTCTTGTTCCCAAGGTTATCGTATATTGTCACATCCCGTATCACTTATTAGGGCTGCTTAGCATGAGCATTGTAAGCCCGAGATACTGGAGAGATTATTGACTGAGTGAGGTCGAGGGCCTGATTGAGAGTGATAATTAAGGAATCGGGTTGCACGCCGCAACATATTTTTATTTATTTATGCCTGGATCTGGCTTATTATAGCACTTGGGCTGAAGGAGCCCCTCCGGAGTCTGCACACCTACAGTGAGCGCAATGGATATTATATTCGGGATAGAGTTCCCTGGGCATGGAGTTGCCCTATATATTTACATTTCGAATGGAGTTCCTTGGGCATGGAGTTGCCCTATACTTTTATATTTGGGATAGAGTTTCCTGGGCTGGATTGGCCCTATATAGTACTGAGTGACTGACTGTCAGTTGCTATTTATATTGTGGGATGGATCTTCCCTGGGCTAGACCTGCCCCATACAATGCTAAGTGATTGAGTACTCTGAGAGTGTGAGTACATGAGTTCATTACTGAGATGCATAGCATTTAACATGCGTACTTGAAATACATGCATAGAGATGCATTTTCTTCTACTATCCGATTTTTGATGACATTCATGATTTCACCTGTATATTGACATGTAGGCATTGAGATGTATTTTCCTCATGCTATCTGAAAATAAAATATCTTATCTATTGTTGAAAGGTTTTTGGGAAAAATCACAGTTTTTCAAACTTGCTCATATATCTTTGGGGTTTTTCGTTGAAAGATTTGGAATCTACTGTATACTTGAAAAGCATGCCTATTTTTCTGTAACTGTGAACGAGCTGAGTTATTTCTTGTACCATCTTTATTATACTGTTATGAACTGTTGTTGGTTATTGGAGTTGGACTCTGACCCTTATCCCAACTCGTCACTACTTTCAACCTAAGGTTAGGTTTGTTATTGAGTACATGGGGCCAGTTGTACTCATACTACACTTTTGCATCTTACGTGCAAATGGTACTACGTGCAGCAGGAGCTGGATCGGAAGACGTACCTGCGTTCCAGTTATGGCTATCACTAGTTCTTGGTAGCATTAGATTCGAATTCTGTTCATTTACATTTCAAACAGATGTTGTAATTATTTCAATTCCGTTTTGTAAAGAAATCTAAAATCATAGACGCTAATGATTTGTACTACCAGTCCTTCGGAAATGTATAAGATTTAGATATTTTCTTCTATTTATTTTCTCATTAAATTTCATTGGAACTGGTTCATTGTCAACTGGCTTACCTAGCGGGTTGGGTTAGGTGCCATCACGACTAGTTGGATTTTGGGTCGTTACAAGTTGGTATCAAAGCTCTAGATTCATAGGTTGTACGAGTCATGAGTAAGTGTCTATTAGAGTCTTGCGGATCGGTATGATGACGTCCATACCTATTTATGAGAGGTCACAGGGCATTTAAGATAAATTTCCCATCTTTCTTTCCTTATCGTGCGGCATTGATTCAGCTTGAAGCATAACTCTTTGAATTCCTTCCACGCATTCATATGCGCATGTGAGCGCTCAGTATCATCTGTACATTGACGGCTTATGATTTTATGGATGAGGTGCGACATGTGATTTCTAGGTGCTGATGATGGGCTAGCCGGGAGGACTTGAGGCCGGGTTTTGACTGTAGCTTGAGCACGGGGATTCCGGTTGTGTGAGCACGTATTTTTGGACTTCTAAGTCCGGTAGTGTTCTTATGAGTGGAATTTATGACTCGATGAGTGGTTGGATGGCTATATGATGGGTATGATGTGATTGCGTGTGTTGATACCCAATTTTTCCCATATATTTTTAATACACATATATATACTTTCAAAATAGTACATATGCATTTATAAGCATGCATAAGCATTTTTTAAAAAATTTTCTATAATTTTAAGAGCTCCAAAATCAATTTATTTCTTCTCTTTTATTTATAAAATATCCAACAATTATTCTTCAAATTACTTTTGTGATATTTAGTCATCTATATTCTTTATTTATGCCAGTATAGTGTTTCATATTTTTAGTTTATTTTTATAGTTATATTTGTATTTTTAGGGCAAATTGCACATCTTTGCAATAATAGCCCATATTAATGTATAATTACATTATTGATGCATAAAATGATCTTTTATATTTTTAAAATGTTAAATAACTATTTTAGATTTTTTTTTAGCACACGAAAATATTTTTTGGAACTCATTTATTATTTTTATAAATTATGTAGTTATTAAAAGTGGCTATTTAAAATCTGGCCCTTTTTATTTCAATTTTGGTCTTAATTTAACCCAATACCCAGCCAAATTTTTAACCCCAAAATATACCCAGCCCAATACCCATCTGCCCCAACCCAATACCCGGGCAAATCCTGGTCGTTGATCATTGTGATCAACGGTCCAGATTGACCCTTA